AAGACAGTCACCTGTACCTGTACAAGACAGTCACCTGTACCTGTACAAGACAGTCGCCTGTACCTGTACAAGACAGTCACCTGTACCTGTACAAGACAGTCGCCTGTACCTGTACAAGACAGTCACCTGTACCTGTACAAGACAGTCACCTGTACCTGTACAAGACAGTCACCTGTACCTGTACAGGCTGAGGCTGGGGTTAAGGAGAGCACAAAAATGACTGGGGCTGGAAGGGTTAAAGCGCTCTCATTCATCCCAAAGACTCTAGTATATCTATTTATCTCTATCTATATACTGTCAAGGAGGGAGGGAAACAAGGACTAGGAAGAGGGAGAGAAGGAAGGAGAGAAAAGGGGGGTGGGGGGGAACAAGGGAACCTCTCGGCAAGGAAAGCAACTTAATCAGTGTTGTAGCCTTTTCAGTTGGTCAACTTTATGTCAAGTAAAATCTTAAAAAAACCCCAGGGCGACAATTGATGGATAGAAGAAGTTGTGACCACTGGACCGTCAACAGGCAAACATACAACATTTATTTCCCCCCTTTAGTCCTCGTCAGACGAGCAGAGGGTATAAAATTTGATAAAACCTGACGTAAAATAATACCTTCGTGTCGGAGAACAAAACTTCATCATGATACATTTCGTCTTTACAAATGCAGTAAAAAACTTGAACACATGAATAAATACAATGAGTATGTACAATGTGGGGGATCACCAGATCCGATACAAACATTACTTGTCTATCAAATTACTGGAAAATGTAAATGTTTAGAAGCTATTTCTCAAAACAACTGAGTCAATTAATTAATTCAATCCTGGATTGTTCGTAAGTCAGTGAAAAAAGAGCACATACATCATTTAAAAAATACATTAGAAGACATCTAAACACATCCAACAAAATACACATTTATTTACACATGATCAATATAGAGAACCATACACAGATTGAATAAAATCTCAACGTGATAAAGGCGGCCGGAGAAACCTCTACACACCAGACTGTCCTTGACGACACAGAGAAACTCGCTTCTTACATCTTCTTCTATGGCAGTCAAAAGCCCAAAGGGGGAAAAAAATCAGCACACATTATGTGTACAGTTTAGTCTTACTTATACAATGGCGTGGGGAACCTTATTCCCCCCACCCACAACTCTCACACTGATTTTCAAAAACTCTTGTCCTATAGTCAGTCGTCAAACTGAGCTCCTTGCAAAAACCCAGGAAGGCCGAAAAAAATATTACAAAACCTAGAGGGGAAAAAAATAAATAGTAGACAGCATTTGTATTACATAGATTTCTGCTCAACAGCAAGCTCTATGCGCTTTACAATCTACATTATTACCCCATGTAATTTTAGCAGAGCTTTTTTTTTATACAGCGCTTGCAGCTGCATACCCCCAGGTAGACCTGATAGCATTCTGAAACAATCCCAGCTTCCTGGGAATCATACAGTACAAGCTGCCATTGTATATATAGGCGCTAAAACACAAATATACACCACCTGTTCAAAAAACAGCCTTTTTTGTTGTTGTTCAGAAGATTATCTTTTATTCTGCCCGACTGCGTGACATGTCTTAAGTGTGCACAGGCTCTCCAGCAGAACTTATCATTCAAATGAAACCACGGATCAACTAACAACATAAGAATAAGAGAAGGTACATACGTCGAATAATATCACACATATTTAAAGCAAAAAAAACATGTCTTCAGATCTTTACTTCTGCCACAACAGCCCCACCCACAAACCCAACATTTCTTCATAACGATCATCAGCGTAAAAATTCATGACATTCCACTATCTGAACACTACAGCACCTCCTTTATTACTTTATGAATGAGAATTTAAAAAAAAAAAAAAGCTTACAAAGTAACGGCAAATTCATAACATGCACAAAATAAAACCAGTCGAGTCTGCTGCCATTGTATCATGTCTGTATGTCTTCTGTACTGTTCACACAAACAAAAAAACACAGATTATTTCACGACAGATATGGGAGGATAGGGGTGGGGTGGGGAGTGTTCTTGATAGAGTACATACAAACAAACGAAAAAGTCACAATCAACATCTTCGCGTGATACAACAAATGGAGGGCACACAGCGACCTATGTTATGTTATATGCTTTCAAGAGTACCTTTCAGTAATTTAGACGTACTTTAAGAAAGAACAACATAGAAAAAGATAGTACACTGAACAAGCCGCAAGAAGAACGTATGTAAAAAAAAAAGGACCCCTGTCTTCTTTTACATGCACCAGATAAACTCAACAACACAGGGGGGAAAAGTCTGAAGTCCAAAGTCTCTTGTTCACAAAAAAAAGTAAGTGTGTACGGGTTTAACGTCCCTAGTAACAACACTATTATATTGGGTTACAGAATTTAAGAAAGAGGCCAGCCCTACGAAGTTAACGCCCGTCTCCGGTACAATTGAGCCAAATAGGCTGTAAGCCTTGAAAACGAAAACTCCACAAAACAACATAGTTAAAAAAACACCCAATCTGGGATTCAAACCAGGGCCATGAACAGCTCCACAGTCCAATATGCTACCAGAGGAGCTAAAGGCTAAAGAATTGTCTCTTGGTCATGTCAAAGAGGAAAGTCAGGAAATATCCTGCCATCTGATCATGCAGTCATTCACAGCGCGACAACTCACAGAGACAACCACCACTTGTCAATGTTTGCAGGGTTCCTGCCATGAACTCCCAGCCAAACTCAAGGAGATTTCAAAGAGGTTTCAAGGAGAAAATTTTAAAATTCAAGGAGATTTGGTTAAGAAATTCATGCCGAAAGCCTATTTCCAATAGGTCTACACTTGCCTGAAAGGAATGGTAGTTTTGATTTTCTGACAAAAATTTAGTTCATGTCCAATCCAGTGAAATTCAAGGAGTTTTCACGGAGGTTTCTCAAATTCAAGGAGTTTACAAGGACTTCTTGAATTCAAGGAGACCCCTGGAACCTTGTATTGGAAAAACTAGTGTCTGAGAGCTCTGTCAAAGATCTGAATGTTTACGTGTCGTCAACGGAACCACAAGACAGAACAACGGCCAAACACTGTCTACCTTCTGAACACTTATCAGTCAGTGTTGGACTGACAACACACGCAGCGAGTATCACATTCACACACACACACACACATCTACACACAGACACACACGCAAGCACCTTCACACACACACACGCAAGCACAACAGACACACAGGCGCCTAAAGCACTTACACACACACACACTTTCTAGTCATCAGTGAATGACAAGACAAATATGACAAGCAGTCCCAATACTTTTTTCAACACAGAAACGGAAGTCTCCAGACCATACGGAAACACAGTCTAGAAGATATTTTTCAAGAAGACAAAATGGATTCCTGTTACCACCAGTGGATAGAGATAGAGGTGAAAGTAAATTTTTTACAGCATTTAATCACAAGACCCGAACACTATTCACACCTAGATGAAAACAGAAAAAATGCACAACGCCTAGAGGCACACAAAACGCCAAGAAAAGTATCAACATCGCCGAGCTCTACGTGATAACTTCGAGAGACGTTATGCCAAAATTCAGAAGAGAAATTCCACACACACACACACAAAAAAACCCAACCAATTTTCTTCAAGTTCAAGCACACTAACACAGCCCACCCCCCTCCCCTAACACAAAAATCTGCTCTTTTGGATCACAAGTATCTTCATAGATGAGACACAAGTTTCTCCCCTACATAACACCCTAACAATGTATCGAAACAATGATCTAGGGCGGGGGGTGGGGGGAGTGTATGACAATTCAAATCAGAAAAATCTTGAAAAGAGTGAAATAGTATTCGGCAAGAGAAAGCTCACTACCCTGAGGACTGCACGATTAAGCACACAAAAGTTTATAAAAAAAAAAAACCCAGGCACGTTTTCTTTACAGTTTGTCATGAGGTGCCAAAGGCCCCTTTTAACACGACAAGTACCAGAAATCACTTCTTTCAACAAAAAGAGACATCAGAAACACAGCACAGACAACAGAAACAGCTAAATCCGCTAAACAACTGGAAAAGTAAAAGGTGCGACAACCACTCAAACTAGTGTGCAAGAAACTAGGAGACACATTTACCGCAAACTTTGTCCCTGACACAGAGAAATCTGGCAACACTCACGTCTGCGACTGAACACAGTATTGGCCACAGACACAGGATGTTAAAGCTTTTGGGGAAGGATGAAATTGACTCAAGAGAGGAAAGTGACAAACACATTGAAAAAAATTAATAAAGGCAGTATGAGAAAATCAATAATAGACAACAATTATGAAAATCTCTGTTTAAAATAAATGCGAGAGAATTGTTCTGGTGATCAGATACAAATGACGAGGACAGAGATGAGCGAAGGAATGCCGTCAACTGACAGACGAGCTAGAACCATCTTATTTACAGAGGCAACAACTACAAGAGCCGTTTCATTTGTGCATCTTTCGTTTCCAAGGAAGTCATAATTGAGTGCAGATGAACAATTTCCCTTGCGTGAGGTCAAGTGCGTTCTGATTCTGTGGATATTGCAGTCATGAAAGAAGCCAGCATGTATGTGTACCAGATCCATTATGCCAGAAGCAATGAGAGATTTTTCAACGCCTATGTACAGAGCAGATGAAATAAATGTGGGCCCCTGTCGAGAGCTGCCCCCTAGCCGTAAATTACACAACGCGACGGGGACAGACAGAAAAAGTTCAAAGGTAATGTCACAAGAACCAGCACTCTTGAGCCACCAGCCACAAACTAAAATGCGTAAAACACTTACACGTTCAATAGTTTCGTACACCCCACACATTAAGACATACTGAACCACTGCCTTTTCACGTACAGAGACAGACACATAAAAAAACAGAGACAGATAGACATGTAACAGTAACAGAGACAGAAATGTAATAACAGAAACAGAGACTCAAACAAAACAGAGGTAGATAGACACGTAACAGTAACAGAGATAGACACGCATGTAACAGAGACAGATAGGACACCTACCATTAACAGAGACCGACGTATCATAACAGTAACAGACACACACCAGTAACAGAATCATCAGTTCTTTGATGGCCAGAAGAAGGAGAACGGGTCCAAAACACTCAAAGAAAGCAGAACACTGAGTCCTGGGATAAAGATCAGATATACGAGTCACCAAAACACCAGTCGTGCAACCAGCCCGCAGTATATCAGAGAAGCACATCGACCACTAAACGGAAAACACAAGACCAAAATCACACCCAGAAATGAACCTTTGAACAAACCACACTCAAATAAATGCGGGCAGCTTAACCTGCAGAAGTGTGTCCAGAACAGAAAATACAATAATCGTATTTATCGGTGTGAATTTCAACAATGTTCTTTATGCAATACCATATATCCATATGGTACAACTAACAGTAACTAGAAAAAGAAAAATCTGTTCAAAGGAAACACTGTAGGTCTTTCAAAAGGCTACAAAATAGGAATAAATTTGTCTGATCAAGGCGGAGTTTTTTTTGGGGGGGAGGATATTTGTTTGGTAGGTCTGCTATGATATCTGAACAAAAAACATACAGACTACAAACTCCCTCATACGATTACATACAAAATTCAAAAGCAGGCATTCTCATTTGGAAATGAAATAGTCAACAGAAAGCAAACATGTCATTCGTATTTGCTCCTTCACAACAAATTATAATGTATAGAAATTAAATGCACTGTCACACAACAAAACATTGAAAGGACGAAGGTCGAAGCACATCATGTCAGGGAGAGAGGGGGAAGGGAGAGAGAGAGAGAGAGAGAGAGAGAGAGAGAGAGAGAGAGAGAGAGAGAGAGAGAGAGAAAAGAGAAACTAAAAACCCTTCCACACATCTCCAGTATGAACACTTTGATCCTGCTGAACGTCACTTGTCAAGGTCAAATGTGCCACTAATAGCACGTCTGCGCCAGTTCAATCTCATACAGCCAAGAAAGGAATACACCGTAATGTTCATTCCATTTCATGGGTACGTCCACACACGAAATTTTCCCATAAACTCATAGTCACACGAGAGCAGTCAGTAGTAATGATGGATGAAACAGAGACAATAAATGCAGTCCTGATCAGCTGGCAGCACCCACTGGCAGCCACTACCACACACAGTGATCCCGACACATTGCCCGTGGACACATGCAGCATCAAACAATCCTTCCTCAACCCCCAAGGAATTTTATTTCGAGCTCAGTGGACTGGAACTACACATTTACATAATCTGCCAGCCCTCCTCCACCGGACACACAAAAGGTCGCTGATATAAACACCACGACCATCCAACAATCACTCAGACTCAGACGCTCAGCACATACCCCACCAGTCCTGACAATAAATTGGTACATTCATTTTTCTTCAGTCCTTCAGCCACAACGGCATCTACGTCACTGCGTCCAGACATTCCACGAGATGACGATATCATTACGCCATCAGTCCAACGTAAGGCCGATAGTCTGCCAGAGACACAGACAGCGCTGGTGGTGGTGCCACTCGTCAAACGCACCTCGACAATGTGGCAGACACATCAATCTAATACCACATCTTCCTACACATCCGACATCTTCAAACACATCTGACAGCTGGTCATGGATGGGATTCTCGCTGTTCCTTCCCCACGAACACCCGAAGACACGACACGGAGAGACAGTCCAGCCACAAGCAGGAGGGAGGTAACCACGTACTTGTCCACGTGTCCCTACTCCCCGACCCAGTCTCATAGCACCACGGAACTCGCACGGAGGGAAAACACGTACGTACGCACTCTAGAGTCAGCCCGCAGACGAGAACGATTACTGAAGGATTCACTCAATTTTCAGGGGAGAATTTTCCCCATTACAGCCACCACTTTCAAACACCACAAGGGCACAACGCTATGAATTTTTCTTCATCTTTTTCTGCGATCTCCTCACATTGAAGAGGTCTTGATCTACTCGAGAGAGAGAGAGAGCGAGATAGAAGTCTCATAAGTCTGTTTGTTAGTTTTAGTAAGAGTTTTACGGCGCTCGCAACTCTGGAAAGTCTAATGCATCATGATGCTGTCGGTGGGCAGCTTGTCCATAATGTTGTTGACGTCCACGATCTTGTGGATCCAGTTGTAGATGCGGCGGAGAGCGTCATTGATGCGGTCCACGCAGTTCTTCCAGACCAGCCTCTCCAGCCGGGGGTTGTCCACCACGCTGGGCGGGTACTTCATCACCAGGTAGTGGATGGCGGCCATCTTGGCCGGGTCCAGCGCCTTGTTCTTGTTCTCCATCTTCTTCCCATTGATGTAGAAGACGCCTGACACATTGCGGTCGTAGACCTCGCCCAGGGTGAAGATGCGGAACACCAGCTCCTTGGCCAGCCTCTCCCTGCGGCCCTGGCACGCAGACTCTGCCTCCTTCAGCACTGTGGAGCAGATGCTGATCTCGCTGGTGCCGATGCTCCGGACGAGCGGCTTGCGGGTGGAGGACATCGCCGAGATGATCTGGTCCGAGCTCATGTTCTTCTGGAAGTCCTCCACCAGGATGTCCCAGAAGCGAGGGTCAAGGATGACCGTCTTGGGCGAGCCCGACGTGTTGGAGAAGCGGGCGTTGGGCTCCTTGCTGCTGCCGGGGCCCAACTCAAACTTCTGGTTCTCGTTGCCTTCATCGTAGACGGTGACCGCGATGCCGCTCTGGCTGTCCACGATGGGCACGTTGATGTCCGACGTTGGCACGGAGGCATTGGCCACTGGCTGGCCCATGTTGTTGAGGACGACGGGGAGCAGATCCTGCTCTGTGGGGAGTTCGGCCACCGTGCTGGACGCCGTTTCTGGAGTCTCCGAGGGGCTGGGCGCCTCGATCATGGCTTGACCCTGCACCATGGACACCGTGCCCACGGGGATGAAGAGATCCGAGTTGGAGTCCGAGCGTTTGAGCTCGTCCGTGGCTGTGTAGTCCGAGATGGTGAGGTAGTTGGACAGGGCGGCCTTCAGGCTGGCCTTTGTGACTTGTGTGTTGGTGCTGGCTCCGCCGGCCGGCTGGGGGGTGGAGCTTGCCGGCACCACGGGGCGGGGCTTGTTCTTGTTGCTCTTGTTGGGCGTGGCCTGCGTCATGGCGGTGGGCTGAGGGAAGAGGTGCGTCTCGATGCGCTCCACCCGCTTGTTCATCTCAAAGAGGACGGTCTGCGAGTCCTTAACCAGCCCCATCATCTTGTCCATCTTTGCGCACAGCTGGAGGAAGGCCTGAGGGGAGACGGTTGCCGTAGTGGCGGCAGCTGTAGCGGCCTGTGGCGCCCCCGCGCTCTGGATCTGCGGGAACAGCGAGTTGACGGGTGGCAGGACCAGCGACACCTGTGGGATCTGAGCGCCCCCGGCCTGCAGCGGGATGCCCGCCTGTGTCAGCACCTGCTGCTGCTGCGGCTGAGGCTGCGGGGCAGGCTGGATCTGCCTCGTGGCCGTGATGGTCTGCGCACGCTGGCCGTCGGCGGTGGCCAGGACCATGTTCTCCGTGGGCGCGGCGGTGGCGATCTGCCCGTCCTGCGTGAGCAGCACGTTCTGGCCCAGCGCTTGCTGGAGGTTCTGCGTCAACACGATGTTCTGACCCAGCTCCTCGCCCTCCGTCTTCACGATGAAGTTGCCTGACATGGCCTGCTGGCCTGGCGCTGCTATGACGATGTTCTGGCCCGGTGCCGCCCCCTGCTGGGCTATCACGTAGTTCTGGCCCGCCTGCTGGGTGTGGGGGGAGGCAATGATCATGTTCTGACCCCCGGCCAGCGAGAAGGTCACCACCTGGCCTTGCTGGTGCTGTTGTTGCTGTTGCTGCGCGACCGCCGCGTCCCCAGTGACCTGAGCGGCGTAGGCCTCGCTGTAGCCGTGCACCTGCTGGGCGGCCTGGATCTGTGGCTGGGCCGTGGCCTGCTGCGTCTGGATCTGCTGGCCGTTCACTTCGATCGTCTGAGCCGTGGCCTGGTGAGTCTGCTGTTGTTGTTGCTGCTGCTGTTGTTGTTGAGCAGCAGCCACAGCCGCAGCAGTAGCAGCATCCTGAGCCTGGCTAGAGTTGACCACTGTGACGTTCATATTGCCGGCCACCTGGGCGGGGAGGCTCTGTGCGGGGAAGCTGTTGGTGGACACCACCTGGGAGAAGGCGGGCGTGGACACAGACAGCTGCTGGGCGTGGCTGTACGCCTGCGCGATCATCTGGCTGCTGCTGAACGGCGTCTGGGCCTGGCCCGCCTGCGAGAAGGTGGCCGTGCCGTCCTGGTTGTAGGTCACCATGTTGGAGTTCATCAGCAGGTCAGCTAAGGGCTTAGCCTCGTTGAACTCGCCTGCTGCAAACTCCTGGCTGTAGAACTGCTCCTGGTTCTTCTGCTCCGTCAGCAGGTCCAGGGACTCTCGGATCTCGTCCGACAGCTGGAAGTACTGCTGCATGTGCTGCTGCTGCTGCGCCGTCGCCTGCGGCGGCTGTGGCTGGCCCGGAGCTTGCTGTGGCTGTGGCTGCCCGGGTACCTGGCCGTTGGGCGGCTGTGTGACGGGTGTGACCGTGGAGGTCGTGGCGGTGGCGGCTGGGGCGGGCTGGGTCGAGTCGGCCGGGGTGCTCGTTACTGGGGCTGCCGCTGATCCCTTAGACATGCAGACAAAACAAAACACAACGTTAGACGACAATTTCATCGAGGGAAAAAACGCTGACTAAACAAAACGAATATTTATCCTCTTGTTTCACCTTTTGTTAGAAAATAAACCCCACTCCCTCACCATCTTGTAAATCTCCACTCCCTCACCACCTTGTAAATCTCCACTCCCTCACCATAAACTAACTAAGAAACTAGGAAATCTCCAGTGCCAGGATCAAATTTCTACTGAAAAAAAAAAGTCACAAAATCCAGTTCTTTCTTTCTAAACCCATTTAAACACAACTCAAATTTTCTTCCTCTTCTCCATCTACCGCCAAAAACCCCCCCCCATTCACCAGCTAATGATAACAATAGTCCAGCATACCAGCCATACAACAAAATGAGAAAAAACCACCACCAACAACAACAACAACATAAGAACAAGAAGTACAACACATGCTCAACAACACTGACACACAACTAACATTTACAACTTATCAATGTTGGAAAGCAGGAGCACACAAAATACACACCCTCTTTTTTCTACCATTCAATCAAAAACAGATGCATTTGGGGAACGGCTACTGTTTAACAACATTACAGAATGCACAACATTACAGAATGCACCACACAATCTTACAAAAATGTAGCTTAGCTTTCTAAAAATAATTGATTTTTTCATACTGGGAAAAAATTAGAAACAATGATATTTATATTAACCGCTAAGCTTTAAAAAAAAGAAAAAAAAAAGAAATGCAAACTACTTTTGTTTAAAGCAACTACAAATGGCTTCTCACCTTTATGAGCTCAGGCTGATTACTTTAAAAGGCAGGCCCCCGGTAGGCCAAAGCACACCGCGACAAACGGACAATTTAAAATGTCTTCACCTTGCAGTGGCTACATCGTGTCTGAGACAAAGTTTGGTAGAACGTTTAGAGCAAACAGGTTACGCAAACATTGCACAGTTCATCATTCTCAACACTTGTTTCATTTTCGCTAGTCATTTCAATTGAAAGATCCATGGAGGTGCATTCGGTAACATCGCAATGTTAACAAAAAAAAAGCATGAACAAAAAGCGGTAGGCGCAGGAAGAAAATAACTTCAGACAAAAATAAATTTCTTCATACTTTGAGTGGACGCTCTAGGTCTAGGTATTCTCATTCCTAAAAATGCTCCATGAACCCTGGCACTCTCAAAATTTAAAAGTTTAATTTAAAAAAATAATTTTAAAACAAGTACGAGAAAAAACCCAACTAATCATAAACAAGACATGATCAAAAGAGAGACAACAGAAAACACTGACACAAACCCCTTTGAACTGAGAACAAAAAACAATTCCAAGTTCTTCACCCAATTTATACTTACGCTGAAATCAGAAAAACACAAGAAGATGTTAGCAAAGCAAACTACTATGTATGAGTTAATATAAATAAATAAATAAATAGCTTCCAGCATGATTTAAAGTTGCTCCTTCGATTGGGGAAAACTGTGTAAGCCACACTGTTACTGCTGCTGCTGCACTGCCACATAAGCGAGGTGGCAAAGAGCAACATGCTTTAGCCGTCACACTATAGAGAAGTGTTCACGGAAAAACAAAATCATCACCAGACAGTTTCATCACCAGAAACCCCCCCCCATTAAACCCAGCATGTGATAGAAGACCCATCCTCTCCTCCCCCAAGCCGGAGGTCATTTCCCTCCAACAAAGGTTCTAACAGTTTTGTCACCAGATCTTTTTCAGTGAAGTTAACCATCCTCTAGATTCTACATCTGAAACGCCAACCCCACACCCAAACTGATCTTTTCAAAAACTTCACAGCATATGAATATTGTTGGCAAACAGTTCTGCTTAGACCAACAAGCAACATTTTGGAAAAGACAGAAACATCTGTTTCATTCTTTCAAGAAATGTACCTAAATTATTAGGTATCTTTTCTTATTTTTCTCAACAATGAGAATTTGAATTTCAACTGAAACTATTGCTTCAGCACTAGAAACTGATTGCACAGATTAGTAAACTGCATTAAAATAAAATTTTTGTAAAATTTTTTTAGCTCAGTACATCTGCAATATCTGTTCAGTTTAGACTGAATTCATCTATATGAAGGCATTTTCAGGAGCGCGTTCACTAGCGCACTCATACTTGCCCCATACAGCTCTGTATATACCTATCCACATATATGTGGGGGAAGTGTGTGTGTTTGTGTTCGGGCACTTGTCTCCGCACGTGTGTTTATTTGTTTGGTTCACGCGTCTACAGCACTGGTGCAAGAAGTGTGTGTGTGTGTCGTGCATGTCTTGATTCGTTTTGTTCACGCGTCACTCATGCTGACGGCACAATCAGTCAACCCCGCACCCAATCAACTCCGTGGTCTGGTTGAAGTCTGACAAACCTGGAAGAATTGTTGGTAACAGCTGTCCACAATTCACCTTCCAGTCCTAAAAGTTAACTAACGACATGTAAAAGTTAAAGAAAAAAATGTTCCCCCCTCCTTAAAAAAAAAAATATAGAACCAATATTCTTTTGCTGTGTTCCTACCATTTACACCAGACGATGGCTGACTTTAAAAAGTTTGAACTGGTTTTTTTTTCGAAAAAAAAAAAAAAAAGAAACCCTGCATGAATGAATATGTATGAATACAATGATGAGACGGCCAATCAGTGTGTTTGAGAATTAGTAAACATCATCAGGACAGGCCTTAACAGGGAGAGAACTTGGCCTTTGTTCTTTTCCTCACAAAAAGAAAGGGTAACTAAAGAATTACTTGTATCTACATTTCAAAAGAGATCTCCTTCCCAGAACTTTACTTCCAGAAAATCTCCAAAATCAAATTCTAAAGGATTAAATAATACGTAGGAGCATCTCCAGAAGTATGAGAAACAGTTTCTCATCCTTTTTTTCTCTCTCTTCACTGGAAAGAGAAAGAAAGCAGCTTAACAGTCCAACTGTCAACCAGACCACGATTTCACAAAGGTGCACCCTCTCTTTGACTACTGACCTTTTTCTTCTTTTGTTTTTTGGCGTGCATGTCCATGAGCGAATCAGGACGCTTACTCTTCTGAAAATCAAACGACATCAACAAAAAAATATGTGAACAACATCCAAACAGAAGAGGACAAAATGCACATTGAGCACACGGGGGGGAGGGGGAGGAGAGGAGCCACCAACACATCAACTAGCTACTTACACCAGGGTGGCCAGGGAAATTTTCCTCCTAAAAATCCTATCACACCAAAAGAAATCCTACCACTATAGGTCAAGTTGTTTCTTGCCATTGTCAGTGTTAGGCTCTCGTCAAAGAGAATCACATAGAAGGAGCTATTTCGTACACATCTTAGGATAGCCGACTACATCACTGGGGCAATCCCAATTAATGTTCTAAGGTAGCCACGTTTTGTGCAACTACACTGAAATCTCAGCTATTTTTCAGCCTGAAAACATCTCATGAATGAGAAGACTCGTGTCAACAACTGCTCTAGTTGATTACTATTATATTACTGTTGGTGCTCCTTTCAGTATCTCTCACAACACTTGTTCTGTTCTTGGTTACCTTAAGAATAGACTTGGCACCACACTGGCTGGTTTGGGCTTTCATGTGTTTTTGAGGTACCATGTCAGTGTTCAAAGCTTTTACACCTGAATGACCGATGACAAATACTTGGGAACAAAATTTTCATCTAAACTTGCTTTTATCATTTGAATACTCCACAATCATTCTGAATACTTAGGGTTGGACAACCACTCAGTGTTGATGAAGTAGCACTTTCCCATGATGCTGGACCTAGTCTAGATCTCTCTCTCTAGTTATAGTCTACACATATATAGTCACAAAAATCATAAGGAAAATAAGTCTGTTTCTAGCCTGGGTTTCAGTATGCCAAGTGCCGTCAATCTTCTACTCTCCAAAGACTATCTTGCTGAGTTTTTCCATGGTCAAACGACTATCCCCCATCCAATGACACGCCAACCCATTAGTTCAATGGCACAGCTTACAAGGTATGACGGATGCCGATTCCACACAAGTCCTGCACAACACGCGCTATGCAGAAAGCTCTTGTTGCAATCAAAATTCTAAATGCTAATACTAAAATTTGCTACCAAGTTCAGTTTTTTCCCCTGGTGTTGCCTTTAACCTCCCCCCCACCCTGCCCCACCCGAGTGTATCTTTAAAAAAAAATTAATAATCCCGCCATCCCGGAGTCCTATACTTCGCAACGCTCAGACTTAGAATGAACTTTAGTGACCCTAACATTCGCGGTACTCACTCGATGCCCTATCATCATGTGTGTAACATACAAACGCGCAGGTTCAGTGACCGATCACGACGGCGAGCCCGACAAGACGCTTGTATAACTTTCTTTTCTTTTTACACAAGAGACGAATATTGATTTATTTTCATAGCAACACAGCCTTTGTAATGCACAAACTGCATGTTACAACAATGTTGTGTTATCAGACTTTTATCGGCAAATTTCAGGGAGGTAGTGAAAGCGAAAGTAGATCTAGATTTTCCCGATTGAGCCTCGGCATAACTCGTACACTTCCGCTTGCCGCCTGTTTGCATGAAACGTCCTCTCAGACCGGGAAAAGCTGAATGATCGCGACCGACAAAATGAACTTAGGGACGTTATCGGATTTGGTTTTCAAATATTCGAGAACTTTTATGTATTTTCCCGGGTCTTTCCCTAGGCAACTTACAGATTTCCTCAAATTTCCTTTTATTGCCGACGTTTATCCAACCATTTCCGTTGGAACAAATTTTTTCCGACAAAAATCCTACCTAAACAAAAATTTCCGACTTCCCTGGCCACCCTGTACACGGTAAACAGAAACAAACACACACACACACAAAAAGACGTTACCAGCAAAAACAAATACTAAATGAAGACTACAACATTAGAACATTAATCAAAGCACAGGCTAGTAGTAGTAGTTTTGCACAGAGATATAGTTAACACCAATAAAATAAATGCTGCAAATGGGTAACCTACTCATGCCCTCACTGTTTAGTAATTTTCTCCAAAGCAGTCTTTGTTTTATTGATATAATTCTCTGAGGAGTTGTCTTATATTTAAACCAATTGTCAAGATTGGATTTTACGACCAATAAACAAACAAGATACTCAGAATTTCAAAGCATAAAACTTGGTTGTCAAGTCTACTAATTCCTCTTGATGTTCAAATTTACAGTTTTTTTTGGTTCAGAAGAACATTTTCATTTTCTCCCTACTGGCGTGCCTAAAAGCAAAAACCTCTATAGTTCTCACAGAAGCTATAACAATATGTCCTTAGACTTAAAAAAGAAATGGTTGCATATGGGTCTAAAACCTTTTTCAAAATTATAACTTTACTTGTGCAGTCCTATGATGAAAACCAGAAAATAAACCAGTTTTGAAAGGGCAAAAATACATTTAATTCTAACCAGAGAGTCAGTAAATGTCAGAAATCCTAAAGCTGTCTTTTCAGTATGCATGAGAAACATTATGGCACTCCCAGGTACTCTAAATACTTGTTTTTCTTTGTTTTATACGTCTCAAACAACAGCCAAGGACATCACAACTATTCTCAATATGCAGCATCCTTCGCCTCAACACAGGAGGAGTCCTACTTATCCCCCCTCTACCCCGAGATGTGAATGAGAAGATGAAGATCCCCTCTACCCATAAAAATACAACATAAACACACACACACATATTAAAAAATAATAAAAGTGAAAAGGTGGGTATAAACCTGCTCTAAATGACAATTTTACGAAAAATCTCATAACAAAATTCCAAGCCAATTTTCCCATAGTCCAGGAATAATAACATTATAATAAGGCAAATCAATATAAAAAACAAGCAGATCTTGACAGAAGTAGATTAGAACAAGGGCAACACTGGAACGATGTAGAAAGAGCAGATCACATCTCAACACCCATCAATTGCCCATCATTTTAGTTTGCATTATGCATTATATATACCAATGGTTCTACTCAGCTTAAAACTTTTCACTCCACGGAACAGTTTTATGCCACCTCACGCTCTTTCCGTCCCATTTTAACTCTCACGTCAAGGGCCATAAACTTAGTTAGCACCTACAAAACACAGGATAAGTCTGTCATCGATTACACGTTTGTCTCTATTAGACGTTTCACCGCTTGTGATTGTGTTTAATGTCTTGTCCGCTTTTTTCAGCATATCATACTGTAGACCTTGCAATATTGAATGTTGAATACAACCTACCAAAACGTTTTACCAAACTCCTGAGTGTGACTACAACTTTAGAAAAATATTCTTTTTACAACTAATAGTACAAGCCAAATCAAAGTCCCCAAGTATTTCAATTGACTGGGAATCATGAGGTGCTTCAATGTTCTCAAAGCATTTGTTCACTTCCGCTCACAGACTAAGGCTGAACACTCAGTTTGCACAAAAAAACAAGCAAAACACGATTTTTAAAGGCTTCCATGAAGCTGAACACCACATGCAGCCACAATAAAAACAAAACATACAAAACAACACAAAGATCACTCAACACTCACTCCCACAGACATGCAAACACAGACAGACAGTGCTATCACCACCCTCACCAATAGAAGAATTAAACCTGGCTCATTTTCCCGTTCAAAGGAAACCCACCAATGCAAAAGCCAGAAAAGAGAGATTGATTGTTTGGGCTTTTTTTGTTTGGGTAAAGAGAAGCACATTGATTGACACAATAATGGTCATTTAGCGGAGGGAAAAAGGTAAGATGGGCAGACAGACAGAAACAACAGAGGGAAAGTAAAGAAGTAGGACATACCAGTGCACCCTCCAACCACTCAGGTTAAAGAAAGACAAGACAAATATAAAACAATACTGAGAGTGGTAATCCCAAAGTCGGAATGATTACCACCAGGAATAGAAGACAGCGACACTAGCAATGCTAAAAACAATTAGACGCTGATCGCACTGAGCACTCCCAACCACCAATTTGACGTGCAAAAAGTAAATCTTTATCAGACTACACACACATGGGAAACAAACAAGATATTTCACAAGCGAACACAGAAAGCAAAGCACATCTTGAAACAACACACATCATATTGAACAGAAATACAGTTATACAAAACAAAAGAAACAAACAGTACAGAAGAAGATAGAACCGACATTTGACACTAATAAAAAGGTAACTCTAGTAATTCTACATACTAATTACTAGGAATTAGTGGCATACACTGGTACAAAGTAAAGCTGCCTTGCAAAGTGATAATATGTTATAAGCTTGAGCGGTGAGATACAGAAAAATGAGAGAAAACTGTGAAAAGAGAACGAAAAAACAAATAAAGAAACCAAAAAAATCCCCCTGAAATATTTAGACAAATAAAATATTTAAAAAACGCAACCTTCCCCCCCCCAAGATTGAAAAGACATTTTTGTTTGGCTCTATGAAGAACGAGAAACTGATCTGAAATCTGCATGTAAATAAAACCACTCTAAAATAAACCAAGCCTCAAAGGTTCTGACAGGCAGAACAATTACAATGAGTGGCAAGACCTGCTGGAAACATAAACAAAGTAGGCATGACTGCATGTTACAAGCCTGTGAGAAGAGGTTTTCAAAAGACAATTCTAAACAATGTTACCATGATGACTCCAGTGGCACACACACCAAAAAGAAAAGAAAAAAGAAAACAACTCACATTGTATTCGTCCACTTGTTGCTGCAGTTGCTGATCTCTGCCCGACGCTGCCTTCTCTTCCTCCCTTTTCCTCTTCTTTCCTTTACTGCTGCCATCCTGAAAAAAAAGTTTTAAAATGTCAGTGTGAAGGGAGTGGTCATGCTTTACCCCCCCCCCCCCCACTCAAGCCTTACCCCCCCCCCCCCCCCCCAAACCAAAGGAGAAGACACATGAAGTGAGACATGCTGACAATAAGAGTTACTTCTCACAATCCACACCAACAGAAACTGGCCAAATGAAAGCAACAAAAAATTAAAACATTTTAAACCCCAAAAAACCACCACCATAAATATCGACACAGGTTCAATTTGTTATAATTTTTACATTTAATGCCATTTGCTTCAGGTTAACATGTCTTTTAATTATTTTATGCTTTTATTTTACGCAGTATAACAACCCCATCCATCTTATTTAAAGTGTGTATTTCCCAAGGGCTGAAATCTGAGTCTGAAAATCATTTTGTCACATAAATCCCCAAGAACTGTTTTCCAATGCGCAGAAGTACGCCAACTGAAATATAACTTGTGATCTGATGAGTAATGTCTAATATGTCAATTTTCCCAAATTGAGTTCATTCAATTTTCTTAATTAACTTACACCAGCAAATAGATGAGTGGAGAAAAGCTGAAACCAATTTGCAGTTTGTGCGTGAGTGCAAGTTTACATGTTCATTTAGTGTGTGTATGTGTGACTGTGTAAGTCCAACGAAGCAGAGAAAGACAGTTGTAAGCAAGAAGTAACAACGGACCGACAAAAGAGGGGCACAACCACTCCTCCCTCTTTCTCCCCCCCCCTCCTACCTTCTCTTTCTTCACGGTCGGTGTGTCTGTCCAACTGGACCTATCCTTGTCCTCTGGGGCTCCGGCACCTTTCGAAAACGTGCGGTTCTGAAGTCCAAAGTTCTTGCTCATGTCTGGGGGCAATTCCGTCATCCACTCTTCTCGCTTGGAGGGTCCCTCTTCTGCTTCGGCCTGCAACCGCGGGCGGAGACGATATTTCTTAATTAACATTTTTAGGGTCAAGACATCTGTAGAGGACTAAACAAATGTGTATGCTTTGCTTCACGCCCATTTCGACACTAAAGAGAAAACTCCGAGTGGAGTTTTTTGTTTTGACATTTGTTGCATCCTACGCCATTTTGTGCTTCAGTCTAACAGACAATTTCATTTTACCATCTAGACAGCCTTTGAACACATCCCACCTTCAGATTTTCATTAGGGGTTTGTGCTGAGCAAGAAAAGCTGTTCAGTGAACCTTTCAAATGGTTATACCGTGTCGAACCAGGTGTAAAACAAAACATAGGGGAACTTCAGTTCAGGTAACTTCAAGTCATGTAATTATAATGTACATTCTCAGAGTACATTCAGAATTTCCATGTTCTTTTCTTGATGCCAGTTGCGTCTCTTCATTTTTCAGTTTTAGTTTTAGCAAAAGCTTGACAGCGCTTGCAGCACATATATAAGTGCTGAAGGTTAGAGGTGTTGCAGAGAGAGAAAAAAACACAAACAAAGGAGGGGAGATGCGGATGATAGATGTTTGACAGGAAAGAAGGAGCCAACCAGCACCCACCATCTACCAACACCCCTTCATTTCACACCATGGCACAGGTCGGCACACAAAATTGTCATAAGGATCCAAAGTATTCCTTTTCACTTCTTCGTTTTTCCACCCAAGAAAGCTCTTTGTCCCACCTCCAGGGAAGCCACAACCACGCCATGTCATGGGAAACAAACTTCAAACTACCTCACCCCACTACAAAATGGCACTAGGCCAAAGATCACTATACAAAGGGATGCTGAACTTATCACAATGACTACACCAGAAACTGTTTGCCTAATTGCTCCAAAGGTATACAACAGCATGGGGAAGAAAGAGTACCTTCACTGTGAGCTGATCCTTCATTCTCTTCGATCGTCTTTCAAATTCTTCCGATACCTGTGTAACGCCAACTTCCTGTGTCATCTCTGAGGGCATTGGGCCAACTGTTTCGGAATTCTGAAAATAAAATGGGATATTATAGGTAAGCAAACTTTTCATAGCCGCCACTCAGGAATTTAAAAAAAGGAGGAAATTCATGTGAAGGCGGAAGCGCGCCCTCCGAAGGCCGGAGTAAAACCAGTGAGATCCAGAGGCAATATATACTGGAAAATCTAGCCTATGGTTTTGGAAGGGAAAACTGTCATATTTGTTAACCATAGGCAACTGAATTAAAATGTATTTGAAAACCCCCCCCACAACAACAAAAAAAACCAACAAAGGCACTAAGTAGACTACCAAGCAATTGAGTCAATTTGACACAGTTTGGACTTGGTGACTAAAAATCCAGTGTTTGTTGCAAGCTGGTGTCTTATAAAAAAGATTTCTTTCACTTTAAACTTGTACACCAATGTAGAGCCAGAGCGCGCGCAGTATTGGATCAAGGAGGCAACACCTTTGCCGCTGTACTGAGCACTCCTGTACAATTGCGGTCCCGTTTGCACTTTACTTAGTAGATCTAGTCCCTCTGTAGAGTGTACATCCAACCTAAATTAAAATTATAGCTTAGGCTATCTAATCTAGATCTAGAATCTAATTATCTAAATATGTGTAAATCTAGATTATATTTAGAGATAGATTATCTAGATCTAGATATATAGATTTAGATTCACTTCAACAGCCACAATAGCCGTCATGACAAACGGGACCACAATTGTACAGGAGTGCCGCAGGCCGCGATTTCTTTATCGCACCAAACGCAAAGTGCAGCAAGCGGAGCTCCTTTTATTTTTGCATTCTGCATCAATTTCTCTCGAATTTCCGCCGTTTTCAAGGACAACTCGGCGCGCTAACGTCCCGATGCCCGATCGACACTTTGTTGCTCCACAATAAACAAAGTGAAACTAGCGCTAGGCCTAGAAGAACGGAAGTAGAAAGCTACGGGCGGACATGCGCAAGCTGCGTTTTCGTCTCTCTCCCGCTTCGGTGTTTTCCGCGTGTAAAATAGCACCGCAATTTGCGACTGAGAGCGGTCCAGCGGAGGAAGGAGGAAAGTAGCGGGAAAAGCTAGATGAAGCGGGAGTTTCCACTATTTAGCGGGAAAGTGGCAGCTATGACTTTTACACAAAGGAACACTGTACCTTTCACACATATATTTAGTTGACACACACACATACAGTCGAACCTGCCCTGACGGCCACCTCTATAAGACGGTCACTTTCCATTTCCCCCCTTGCGTTTTTTTCTATATAATTTAACTGTGTAAAACGGGCACCTGTCCAACGCGGCGCGGCCACCATAATTTAACACACAACCCCTATCATACTAAGCAATAATACCTGTCTAAGACGATCACCTTAGTGACTCCATTACATTTTGTCATAAATTGTGCTTTGGCCCCTGGCGTTGTGGGCGAGCCGTCATAATTCAACCACCTGTCGTTGTTCGGTAGTCCCTCCGACCGATCATGTTGCGTAGGCCCCTCTCACCGTTGACCAATAGCTACCAATTTTCAGCTGCTGGTGAGGTAAGCGTGTGATCCCTCATAACCCATAAGCCCCGCCCAGAACTCATACACAAATCTTAAGTGAGATGAGTGGTTACTGTTTACCCAGTCTGTAACAAAGTAACAAAGGACGTCAACATGAACTTGTTACGGAAGCGTCGCTCGTTCTCCGAGTGGTGGCGACCCATGTGTTTGTTTTAACATGGCACTCGGTCTTTCTTGTCTGATACATTTTGTTTTATTGTCACCCTTGTGCAAAATCAGCGACAAAATAAAACCAACAACAACACCAACAAAGACAATATAATGGGCTACTTTTGATTGGGGTCTCAGATGGGAATGGTTTGTTTTCTTTATCTTGGTCAGTCCTGCCTAAGATGGCCACCTGTCTTATACGGCCACTTTTCTCCTTGACAATGGGTGGCCGTCTTACACAGGTTTGACTGTATTTAGTTGAGGTTTTCTTGATCAGCACATTCTACAGGTACCTCATAAGGCAACAAAGGGGTTAACAAAGAAAGCACAAAGTCAGTTACACAGAATAATTTCATGAAAGTAAATTGTCGCCAGCTACTCAGATGTACTTAGATATACTGTACGCTTTTCAGGAAGTTGTAATAGTTTCAGAATACTATCAAGTCTGCTGGGGTTATAATATAGATTGTAAAGCACATAGACCTTGATGTTGAACAGGAATTTGTGCTTTACAAATGCTGTCTATTATTATTACTTTGACCCAAAAAACCCCCCAACATTTTTGTAGCATTTTCAAAATTTCAGGCATTAGTTGCAAGTTCCCGAGAAATATTCAGTTGAAATTCAAATTGTAAATTTGTTGAAATAAAAAAAGAAAAAAAAAGATGCAAGATGAACAATTGTAAAAAGATTGAAACAGTTATTTTCTCTGTTCTAAAAAATTTTGCTCTTTGGACTCAGCATGTGAACAGCAAACAGCATGCTGTCAAAATGTTTGACCATCGGCAGTTAACCGAAAGGAGTTCAGGTGAAATCGGTTTAAACGGATCAATGGTGCAAGTCTTTAAGTGTTAAACTGAGGAGCTTAACATCAGTGCATGCTTCTTTTTTTCTTCAAATCTCGTTAGACTGCCAGTTAAAAAAAATTTTCTCATAAAAAAGTTACGTTTTTGTCGTCTGCTTCTTCTTGATCATCTTGTATGGTGTACTCAGGGGACATCTCAGGGTCCATCTTCACTGTAAGAGCCCCTTCATCGCTGAGGTCATCGCTGTCGGAAGACTTCTGCATACCCGGTGCCAGTGATGGACCTATGACATTCTTGGAGGATTTTTTGCTAGATTTGCCTTCTGCACTAGATGAAGCACGTTCACTCGCTACGACCATTCCTGAAATGTAGAAGCAATAAATAAATACATAAATTAATGAAGCACAACATGGTGAGTCCATTAAATGATTACATGTCAGTGTTACAAAGTGGTTAATGTAAGACGGGCCATCACAAGGACAGGGATTGCAGCAGCTGACAATTCTGCCACATCCACCTCAAAATCCTAATCCAGAGAGGGCACATTTATCAATCGTTGAGATCTATACCTTACAAACAAAATATGTGTCACGACACACTGAAAACAGGCTCTTGTCAGTTTTTGGCCATATGGAGATACGGACCGATGGAGATATTGGTATCATCTTAAACTTAAGGCTAACACTAACAGTAGTAATAGATCTAGAACGTTTGTTCACGGCACAGAATTCTACAATTCTCTTCAGTGTTGAATTCTGAGAATTCTGTGGTTCAGGGTGAACGCTTCACTGGGACTGGTTGGCCTAGGCTAGGCCTATAACGGTGAACGCCCACCGGGTGAGAATAGCCAAAAGACTCGCCTGCGCTATTCTCGAAAAAATAGAGGTGGCTTATTGCAAAACATCAAATCGTGATCAAATTCAGGGGGGGCATGCCCACCCTGAAACACCCCATGTTTTTTTTTAGGTAGCGTCAATTGCCACCGAGTGACGCGGTGGCAAGTCTAGAGCTACGGCACCAACTAGGCGCGTTTTCAATGAGACGTAGGCCTAGATCTAGGCTAGCCTTAGCCTACACTTTGGTGGAGAACCAACACAGGCAATTCTAGAAGTAGAAGGTCACAAACTCAAGCAGAAATTCATGTCATATCGGGGGACGGTGGGTCAGGAAAAGACACACACACACACACAGAGGGACAGAGAGGCGAATGGCGAACGCACAACACTGAGCACAACAAGTCATTAAGCTGATCTACCCACCAACGCAAAAGAGCTCCAATTTACTCGGTGGCAATTGACAAATAGTCAATTTTTGTCAATTGCCACTGCGTGACTCTGTGGCAATTGACACTACCTTTTTTAAAGTCAGGGGGGCAAACCCCCTTGCCTTGTGAAAAACAAGTGAAATTTTACTGCTCATTTTGTAGGCTAGAGATTTAGATCTAGGCTACTGATTAAACGAAGTGATTATTCGGACTCGAGTCCGAATATGAAAAAATGTTATTCGGACTCTGATTCTTGTCCAGCATGACATCACTTCCGACTTCCTGTGACCCATGACTCCGGCTTCCTGTCCTGCCTCACTCGTGACTCGCCTCAGGCTGGGTAGAGACCAGGATCACTTCGGGTAAAATGGCGTTTTGTGCAGGAGCCGAGTTTTTATCTTATGGTGAATTTGAGGCCGGCCTGAAAAGCTATAGCGCTTCTAATAAATGTTTATTTGTCAAGAGGTCATCAGAAGCAATTAAAGAAGGCTCGTTAGCGTGTGTCGGGGTCGGATGGGCGGCCTGCACACGTGTGGCTGTGTGAGTGTCGGGGAGGGGGCACTATCGGTCCAGGCGTTGAACGTCGCATACGCCTCAGTCTTTTTTCCCCCGGCAACTGATCATTATTACAATAATAAGCTAATCTTGACGTAGATCTACGTAATGAATTGTGTGCTTGTCTATGGAATCAAAAGTTGCCGTATGCTCAGCTCTACACAGCAACACAACTTTTTCTTGGTAAACAATCGAAATGACACAGGCTTGTGTATTTGAACGAATCGGTCTTTTTTTTTCCTAAGTGTATACAGACCCGGTAACCGGGAACAAAGTCACGAAGTATACAGACCCGGTAGGGGAACTCTTTTGTGATTTCGGAAAGTTTCAGCGCCCAGACCTGGTAGTGGGTGTGTGTGTGTGTGTGAGAGTTAGAGAGAGAGAGAGAGAGAGAGAGAGAGAGAGAGAGAGAGAGAGAGAGAGAGAGAGAGGGTGACTGCTCGATTGAAATTATGACATTTTGTTCTTTGCAAGTGGCAATTCTCCGGCGTCGCGCCGGTCAATAGAACGGAAGCTATTCTCCGGCGTCATAACTAGGCCTAGTAAGTCTACCTTTAATTATATTTTATCTATATATGGTAATTGTCTAACAACTTCATTTATTTCCATCGTCCATTTGCTTATTTTAAAATAATGATTCTGTTTATTTAAACGAACAAAATTGATTTTGTGTCCAGTCATATAGTATAGCTTGCTGTTTAACTTTTTTATTACTTGTTGTTGTAATTTTAGATCAATTTAGTTGATATGATATGTCGCGACTTCAGTGCTTTCTTGTCGTATCTCCATTTTTGTAAACAGTGAAAACGTGACTCCTTTTAAATGCTTACTCTTTGTTATGAACTCGCGTCAATAGTTGTGAACATGTTTCTTCTTGCACACCCAACATAATTCTAAATTGGAGGAATTGGGGCAGTTTGTGTCTGAAAACCTATCGTCTGCATCAATGGAAGTGGCACGAAGTGGTAAAGTTGAGGGATTTGCAAATCTGCGCGACAAATTATTAGTAAATAGCCCGGCGGCGGCGCCGCGCCTGAGAATAGCTTCTGGTCTATTGACCGGCGCGATGCCGGAGAATAGCCACATGCTTGTTCTTTTCTTCAAATTGTGATTCCTCAAACTCCAAAACAGGGGAAAAACGATCGTTCATCGAAAAGACATCCGCAATCTTCATTTAGTTTTAGATCTAGATCTAGGCTAGCCTCGAAACTAGATCAATGATTTATATGTCTGTCTAGATCTAGACCTAGGCCTATAGATATGGATCTAGAAGAACCTAGTTCTACCCTGAGCCAAGAGGGTGCTGAAACTTTCCGAAATCACAAAAGAGTTCCCCTACCGTGTCTGTATACTTTGTTGTGACTTTATTCCCGGTTACCGGGTCTGTATACACTCCCTTTTTTTTTTACACAGCTCATAATATGCAGGTGCCAGGTGGTCTGCTAATCTTCAATTTTACCTTTTTCTACAACAAAGAAAGTGGGAAACATGGGGGTGGGGTGGGGGGGTGGCGTATCAATGAGGCGGCGGGCATCAGATCGTCAGAAAAGGTGTGGGGGAAACTAAAAAATGGCGGAAAATTGGAAGCACTGAACGTTAGATCTATAGAACGAAGACACTTCCTTTTTTCCGGACCCGAGTCCGAATTAACATCTTTTCATATTCGGACTCGAGTCTGAAAATTAGATCAAATCAGGTCTTGTTTCAAACCGGGTGAGAATAGCCTACGGTCGCAAGTCTCACCCGGGGTGAGAGGTCGATCGTATTTCTATTCTCACCCTGGATGAGAATAGCCACTTCCAGTCCAAATAGTCACTTCGAAATAGATATATATATTTCAGTAGATCTAGATCTAGATCTAGGCCTACACAAGTCGCGACCACCATATCCAAGTAGTGCCGATTTTAAATCTAGATCTCTACTTAACAGATCTATGAGCTCCGGTTCCGCAACTCCAGACTGAGAAATTATCATAAAGTTTAATAAAGGAAGTGGCTATTCTCATCCGGGGTGAGAATAGAAAAACGACCTAGAATCTAGATCTAGATCTAGATCTACCTCTCACCACGGGAGAACGCAAAATTTGTTGGCCTAGATCTAGGCTATAACGGTGAATGCGCACCCGCACCGGGTGAAAATAGCCAAAAGACTCGCCTGCACTATTCTCAACCCGGGTGAGAATAGAGGTGGCCTATCATAAATCGGCTACATTCGGCTAGATCAACAATCAAGAGTATCAGTATCATGTTCTTATAGTATAGAGGCCTAATTAGTCTCTTCTCTTCAGTCAGTCTTCAGACAGGTAGACCATATCTAGATCTAAATCTAGATCTTGATCTAGATTTTAGATCCAGATCTAAAATAAGATTTATTCACCTGTTCATAAAATTCTCTTCAGTCTTCAGTCAGTCTTCGGCCGGCGACCAGTTGAGAAAAATCATGCCTTTTCATCTTCCTAAAATTGTTTCAAAATGGGAGCACATTAACCATTTTCACACACTGTTGTTAGCATCTCTCTAATGAATAAATGTTTCATTCTTATACTGAACTGTATAGTCATAGAATCTAGATCTAGATCCTAGATTAGGCCTCATAGTCCTCCTATAGTCATGGTCAAAGTGGAGAAACGTCGGTAGCGCCAGACCGACGCTAACTTTGACCCAAAAGTAAACATTAGTTCAAACAAATACCTGGGGGTAAAGCAGGGCCATATTGATCATCACTTTCCATTCCGCTTAAAAGTTTCCTTATAAATGAATATTTTTGGCGTGCATGTACAAATATTCATTGCTTTGTTCGTATCTCATGTGAGAAAATTGACAAAGATTTTACGGCATCGTGCCGCCATCTTTGATTTGCATCACGTAGGCGTTATATCAAAAGCTATGCCATTGGGCCAATTTTATTTGCTGGCCAATCAACTACGGTTTTACATTCTTTCTTGGATAATTATCTTGTGAAAAATTGTGCTCATACTTCCGTTTCCTTTTTTGAGGCATTTTCGTGTACTCCAAAGACCGAAGAATTCTGTTTTCCTCCGTGGTGAAGCAGGGCTTGCGAAAACAAAAAGTGAAAGTGAGAGTTTGCCACTTTCCGAGGAAGAAACCAGTGTTTACGTTTGTCGAGATAGACTTAATTACTGTCGAAAATGCCTAAAGGTAAGGGCGGTGGTGGTGGAGGTGGTGCCAAGAGTGGTGGAGGAGGTGCTAAGGGTGGCAAAGGTAAAGGAGCGGAAGGAGGAGACGATGGAAAGTCTTCCAAAGGAGGGACAGCTGTGAAGGTAGAATTTCAGTTTCATCAAAATCATGTTGAAATAATGGGATTATTCGGCTTTGGCCCTAACGATAACTATGGAGTGTGTATTTTGGCTTCACTGACGAATACTCTTAGTTTTAAATGATTACTTTTCGACACGCATGCCGATTATAATGATGTTTGACGCTCCACTCTGACCTGTGACTGTGAGCAAAGGCAAAAGTCTAGAAAAATTCTAGAGATCTCTAGACTCTAGAGATTCTAGATCTAGATCTAGATCTAGATAGATATAGACTAATAATGTAGATCTAGATTCTAGATCTAGATTTAGATCAATTTAGTCTAGGCCATCATTATTCGGACTCGAGTCCGAATAACATTTTTTCATATAAAAAAATCTAGATCTATATTCGGACTCGAGTCCGAATAAAAAAAGGCTATTCTCACCCCGGGTGAGAATAGCGCAGGCGAGTCTTGGCTATTTTCACCCGATGGACGTTCACCGTTATAGCCTCGGCCAACCAGTGAAGCGTTCACCCTGAACCACAGAATTCTACACTGTGATAAACAGAATTACAGAATTCTGTGCTGTGAACAAACGTTCTAGGTCTATTACTACTGTTAGTGTTAGCCTTAAAGCGTGCAATTTTGTTTGTGGGCAGTGGAGAGAGAGAAAGAGAGAGAGAGAGAGAGGAGTAGCGCGAGAACTTCTGGGAAAAACAAAATCAATTTAGTTTTGTTTTTTAACATCATTTTTTAATAACTTTCTTTTGGTCAATTTGATCGTCCACACCTATAGACAGTTTTCAGAAAGAGACAGAGAGAGAGAGAGGGGGGAGGAGTAGATCTTGCGAGAACTTCCGGGCAAAACAAAATGGCGACCCGCGTTGGTCGGCTCGATTCAAAAAGTGAAATAGCCATAGCATCTTTGAAGACGGATCAAATTATAGCTTACTTTTGTGCTTTAACGTAATTTTTTCTTGGCTTTTATCAATGTGATCATCCACACCGATAGACAGTATTCCAAAATGAGGAAAAATAGGTCTTGTTTCACACCGGGTGAGAATAGCCTATGCTGGCAAGTCTCACCCAGGGTGAGAGGTAGATCGTAATTTTATTCTCACCCCGGGTGAGAATAGCCACACTTCCATAAAAAAATGTCATATTTGGACTCAAGTCTGAATAAGAAAAAATGTTATTCGGACACGAGTCCGGAAAAAAAAGAAGTGTCTTCGTTCTATAGATCTAACGTTCAGTGCTTCCAATTTTCCGCCATTTTTTAGTTTCCCCCACACCTTGTCTGCCGATCTGATGCCCGCCGCCTCATTGATACGCCCCCCACCCCCCATGTTTCCCACTTTCTTTGTTGTAGAAAAGGGTAAAATTGAAGATTAGCAGATCTCCTGGCACCTGCATATTATGAGCTGTGTAACAAAAAAAGACAGATTCGTTCAAATACATATAAGCCTGTGTCATCTCAATTGTTTACCAAGAAAAAGTTGTGTTGCTGTGTAGAGCCGAGCATACGGCAACTTTTGATTCCATAGACCAGCGCACAATTCATTACGTAGATCTACGTCAAGACAAGCTTATTATTGTAATAATGATCAGTTGCCTAGGGTGGGGAGGGGGGGGGACTGACGCGTGTGACGTTCAACGCCCGAGCCGATAGCGCCCCCCCCTTTCCCCGACACGCACACACAGCCAAACGTGTGCAGGCCGCCCATCCGACCCCAACACACGCTAACGAGCCATCTTTAATTGCTTCTGATGACCTCTTGACAAATAAACATTAATTAGAAGCGCTCTAACTTTTCAGGCCGGCCTCAAATTCATCATAAGATAAAAACACGGCTCCAGCACAATTTAACACCATTTTGCCTGAAGTGATCCCGGTCTCTACCCAGCCTGAGGCGAGTCATGAGTGAAGCAGGACAGGAAGCCGGAGTCACGACTCACAGGAAGTCGGAAATGATGTCATGCTGGACAAGAATCTGAGTCCGAATAACATTTTTTCATATTCGGACTCGAGTCCGAATAGTCACTTCGTTTAGTCTATATCAAACCTTTATATTCTAATTGATTTGGAAAAAATCAAATAATGGTTAAATTCGGGGACGGTATTTATAAAAGGGAGTGTATACAGACCCGGTAACCGGGAACAAAGTCACAAAGTATACAGACCCGGTAGGGAAACTCTTTTGTGATTTCGGAAAGTTTCAGCGCCCTCTTGGCTCAGGGTAGAACTCTAGGTTCTTCTCATATAGTTACCCCCTACATCTCTGGTTCTTCTAGATCTATGGCCTAGGTCAAGATCTAGACAGACAGATATAAATGATTGATCTAGTTTCGAGGCTAGCCTGGATCTAGATCTAAATCTAAATGAAGATTGCGAATGTCTTTTCGATGAACGATCGTTTTTCCCCCGTTTTGGAGTTGGAGGAATCACACTTTGAAGAAAAGAACAATGTCATAATTTCAAGGAAGTGCCTATTTGCAACGCCGCGTTGCGATTAGCGCCAGTGCTTTACTTTTACTTTACTTTTCCGATCTAGCGGCAAATTGGGTTCTAGCCCTTCGCTCTCTCTCTCTCTCTCTCTCTCTCTCTCTCTCTCTCTCTCTCTCTCTCTCTCTCTCTCTCTCTCTCTCTCTCCCTCTCTCTCTCTCACACACACTACCGGGTCTAGGCGCTGAAAGGTTCCGAGATCACAAAAGAGTTCCCCTACCGGGTCTGTATACTCCGTAACTTTGTTCCGGGTTACTGGGTCTGTAAACACTTCGTTTATAAAAACCCCATTGTTAAATCGCGTCACATATTTACTGCTCATTTTGTTCTGAAAAATAGTAGAGCATAGTCTCGCTCTCTTTCAGATAAAACAAATAATTATTGTCCACTGAATTGTTAATAAGACCGTGTATACCAAGATGTTTCAATTGCTCTATCTTGTGTCCGCGCGAGACTTGGGCGCTACCTGTAGCTAGTGCGTGACGGCTCATGATACGAGGATAAACAAACGTTCCGCCGCTCTTGAGTTGAACATGTACAATTTTGTCTTCGGGCAGGGAGAGAGAGAAAGAGAGGGGGGGGGGGTGAGAAGGAGAGAGAGAAGAGGGGAGAGAAAGAGAGAGGGAGGGAAAGAGAAGGGGGGGAGGGGAGAAAGAGGGAGAACGAGAGAGGGGGGGGGGAGGGAGAGAGGTGTTTGTTATATTATAGATAAGAATTATTGTTTTGTCACTTTTTATCTGCGTTGGTTTTCAGGCGGACCCGGTGCTATACAGTCCTTATTGTACACATATGACCATAGTCCCATCTTCCAAATCCCACCTTCTGTTTCCCATCTCTCACCTCTTGTTTCCCATGTACCGCATCTTATTTTCCATATCCCATGTCCCAACTTTAATTCTGTAAGTGCTCTTGGTTTTCTTTCATCTCATGGGTTGGAACACCTGAAGCAGGCCAAAATATTTTTAAAATTTTATACATCAGTGTCGCCAATGTCCAAATCAGATTTGTGCTAAACTTTTTAAGCACAGGTTTTCAACAGTTTGATTTACTGTTTTATTCAGAATCAAGGTTTGGTCTCATGAGATTTCTTCGATGTACCCTCTTCGGAAGCGAGTTTATAATTTTTGACTTTCCCTTACTAACAATTCACCCAGCACTACCACAGGGATCCATGATGTCAATTTGGTCCGAGAATTGCAGTCAGAATCTAACTTTCATGTAAGAAATGTAACAATCTGACAAAGATATCGAAAACGCTCCCTCTCGAAAGAGGTAATATGATTCTCTTTACACAGCACCAGTCGTTGTATTTCAAGGACCCAGATGATGGGGAAACAACTTACTAGTTGTTGTTTGATATCATTAAGAAGAGACAAGGACAGTTTGAATCTGCAAGACTTTGATTATAAAAGATCGCAACATCAAGTCGTAAAGAAATTGTAAAGCCAGACCGCATTTTGTCGCCACAATACATTCACTTCTTAAGTCGGACAAAGAAATTTACTCTCATAACATAAAATGTCATTTTTTGTGAGGTAATTCTGTAATTAATATGATGTCTACTAGGGACAACGAGCTAGACTAACTACGACACTATAACCATTGTTGCGATACGAAATGACTGGACAGCAAGCTACATGAGTTTGATCGGTGAACACCTTGCTGCTTAAAATTGTTAAATAATTTTCCTCGTTTTTGTTTGTTGATTTTCAGTTTGCTATTCTTCCTTCTCATCCACCTACTCAACTCCAACCCTTTTTCCTTTCTTTCTTTTCATTCTTTTTGTTTTTATTTGCGTGTTAATTTTTAAAATCTTCTATTAAACAATCTCAGCGATTCTCGTTCCATACAATTAGTCCGTAAGCTACCATTCTGTACCTCCTTTTCTCCTCCCCAAACAAAGTTATACACACACTCACACACACACACACACACACACGCAAACACACACACACACACACACACACACACACACGCAAACACACACCCCAAGCAGTTGGTGATGAAACCAACCTCGCGTTGCCTAGTGACGTAGTCCCATCACGCACTACATGGCAAAGCGGGCCCGCCAGGGCCACGGACAAAAGCCCAAAGAGCAAGTGCAATATCTTGGTATACGCGGCCTTTGGTTAATATGTAGCCTAGTTTTAGAAATGAAGTCTTGAGCTAGATTCTGGATCAGGGAATCGTATGCAGTATGATGGGCTTAACATTTTTACAGCTCTTGAAATTTTCCTCAAAATTGTCTCCTTAGAGCCTTAGACTCCCAGACCTAGCCTAGACTCCTCATCGTCATCATAGTCGTACAGGATTCCAGCTTCCACATCACGGCCACTTCGCTTCTGAAAGGCTCAACAGTAGTCAGCTTTACAGCTCTTGCTTGAGCGTAATATCAACTACTATATTTGAAAAAGAAAAAGACGGTGAAGTCCTGACCGTAAAAGTAAAAGGACAGACCTGTCTCCTTTCTCATTTGTTTTCCACAGTTCAGAGCTATCCAATGTATTTAGCTATCTTGATAGCCTTCCAAAATCCCTGCTGCTACTTTCCCATCAAATATCTGTCGTTCTGATCTCTCCTCTTTCTTTTTTTGTGTTTGTTACAACACTGTTGTAACACTTTTAATCTTACTTTGGCACTTTTATGACCTTATTTATTGTGTTGCAAGTGCCGTAAAACACAAGTACTAAAACAAATTTGTTATCTCTCCACAGGTCAGGCATATTTTGTGTGAGAAACAGTCCAAAGCCCTGGAAGCCATTGAGAAGCTGCAGAGTGGGATGAAGTTCAGTGAAGTGGCTGCTCAGTACAGCGAGGATAAAGCACGCTCAGGGGTAAGCTGGACTGCGAGAAAGATCAAGGACAAATTAATTAATGTTTGAATGTGTAATGCTGAAATGAGACCTACTATTTTTTCTTGTTTCTTTTATTATGGTACCGTGACGCCTTTAAATATTTTTCTTGTTAGATTCTAATTCAGAGATCTTTTCCATTTAGTCTAAAACATTTATTTTCTTTCTTGCTATTCATTAAAAAAATAGCACATGTAAATGATACATTTAGACTTAGACTGCTTCAGCTTCTAGGGAATGTGGACGTATTGAGAAGCCTCCTCATTTTCCATGGGGTATTCTGTATTGACTAAGATGAGGGGGGGGGGGGGGGGGGGGGGAATGGTAAGTTTTATTTTTTTTATTGAGTCTCCTTGACAACTTTCCAATAAAGTCCATTGCAATGAGTGTACACAAGAAGTAACTACTTATGAGTATTTAATTTTGCTACAAATTTCCCCATGGTTATGTCCCTTTGTCTAGTGACAGACCTGGGGGTGGTTGGGGGGGGGGGGGGGGTACGTTCATACCCATTGTAATAGCTGTCTGGTGAACCAAATAGTGTATAGTGTGTATTATATTTCAATTTCCTCATAGTCCATGATCAGACTTCATGTGATTGAAATAAGGAAGACCTGGGTTTGATTCTGGTGGGGGAAGAACTTTTATTGAGAAGAATCATTGCATGCCTCACAGCACCAGCTGGCCCTGACAGACAGGCAGCGTCAAAGCCTGCCTCATTAATGATCTAAATTGTGTCATCAATGGGTGCATTAAAAAAACCTTCTCTATCAAAAAAAAAAAAAGAAGTCCTTGAAGATGATATTTTATTGTCCCAGTTGTAAATTTTTCTTTGCTGTACAGGAATAGTATAAACTCATGCAAGCATACAAAGAATTAAAATTATTATATTATTCTCTTTAAAATTCAATTTGAAAAGAAAAGTAAAGCACGACAATGATGCACAGAATATCACATCAGATGCATCTTTCAACCGCCATGTAGGAGATCTTTAAAGAAAAGGTTAGGCATATTCCATTGTTTGCTGGTTTGTTTTTTTTTGGGGGGTTTCTGTTGTGCTCAGTCTGACTAGGGAGGTATTGTCGGTAGCCTAGTGGTTAGGCTATCTGACTCGTAATCATGAAGTTGCAAGTTTGGGGGTTTGAGCCTCAGCTCAGTACGATGTTGAATGTTGTGTCCTTCGGAAGGGCGCTTTACATGAATTTCTCACTTTGCTTAGTCCTTTCGGAGATTGAAGTTAAACTCGGAGGCCCTGCTTCCTAAATAACCTAACCTGTCCCCATCGTTTTATGCAAGAAAAATTTTGAAATTATGCAAATTGAGTCCAAAAAATGTTAAATTATGCGATTCTGTTAATTTTAACAAAGAATGATTAAGGAAAATAATCAGAAATTATGTAAAAAATGATCAAATTTTGCCAAATTATGCGGGCGGGGTGCATAAAACCAGGGGGACAGCCTAACCCTGTTCCACTGCACAGTCGCCTAACTGACATCAGAGTTACACTTCTCCCTCAGAGACCTAACATTGACAACACGCTCTATGAAACATCACAGCAACTGCAGCAAACCTGCACTTATCACAACATGGCATTGGACAGAAGGGCAAGATCCCAGCTGTGGGTGGTTGGCGGGTGCTATGGTGTGGTTTGCTTCTTCTTTCCTATCAAACATCTATCGTCCTTATCTCCTCTCCTTCTTTTTTATGTTTGTTACTCTCTTGTAACACCTCTAATCTTCTGGTGCTCATATGACCTTATGCAGTTGCGAGCGCCGTACAACCTCTACTAAACCGAAAAAAAGATCCCAGCTGTTGCTGGATCGATAACAACAACAACAACAAATAACCTAACAGTGTTGATAGGGGTGTTGAACATATACATATACCATTTCATTTCCCCAGGGCGACCTGGGCTGGATGACCCGAGGCAGCATGGTGGGACCCTTCCAGGAGGCGGCCTTTGCTCTGCCCAACAGCTCCGTGGACAAACCCAACTACACCGACCCACCGGTCAAGACCAAGTTTGGCTACCACATCATCATGGTGGAGGGGAAGAAGTGACCGCTGGCACGCAGACTCACGTGTGTGTGTGTGTGTGTGTGTGTGTGTGTTTGTGTGTGTGTGCTGGGGAGGGAGGTGGAGGGTGGGAAAAGTTTGTTTTTACCGACCGGTACTGTTTGCATTGATTACATTGGTGAACAGTGTTGACTATTTGCTTTCAATGCGTGAGAAATTTTGCATGTGGTGATGAAGTGAAGCGTGCCTGTGTGTGTCAATGTGTATGTGCGTGCGTTTGTGCGTTTTTCAAGGGTTTTGCTTTGCTTTCATCTAGACATCTCTGTAGGTTCTTTATTTGCTATGGGTTGGAAAATGTACTAGCCCGTGTGTATTAATGTGTACCGTATGCATGTTCTATTCCCATGTATACATGATGAAATGGTCTGAAGGTGTTTGTGTGGATGTTGGTGTTCATTTGAATTTAGTTCAAATGTGGCTATAATGGTGGTGATAAGAACGGTTGTCTCTCTTGTTATTTTACGTACCTTTCCTGTATATAAGACTGAAACCGCATGACTGAATAAATTAAACTTCTATTCTATGCTAACAAAGACTTGTTGTGAGAAAACCTTCCTTATGAAAGCAGTCCTCTTGTGTCCCACTCATCAATACTCTGTTTACTTGTCTGTCGGTGCAGCTAGTGTGCCATCTGCACCAACCTGAGGTGTTAGTAACATGAGTTTTGTGCTACTTTCTCAACCCACAGATGGTGGGCAGGGACAGATGGTTGACCTACACACACGATGAACCAGTAACCCGGTTTTGGGGCTCTTCTGTCTAGCAAATTTATAAGACTTTTCCTCCTCCACCCCCATCCCTCTGTGAAATTATGCTGTTAAAGAAGACTTGCTAGGTTTGAGGTATGGTGCTTACCTTTACAGGTGGTTGGAGGGCGCCACTGGTAGGTCCTAGTCCTACTTCTTTACCTTTCCTCTGTTGTTTCTTTTCTTTTTTTTTAGTAGAGGTTTTACGGCGCTCGCAACCGCATAAAGTCATATGAGTGTCAAGGGATGGATGTCAACAGAGAAGTCATTACAATGAATCAGGCTTACTCTGCTCACCTCTCTAGCTTCAACAGCACAGTCTTCTTCGACTATCAAGGCATCCGGGAATAGCGTGTCGCAAGAGAGTGACAAACATACAGTGGGGTCCACTAATAACGAGTCTGGAAAAAACGTGAAGTCTGTTATAAAGACACTATTCTACAACCCCGTTTTTTTTCTCCTCTTTACCTTTGCAAATACAATACTGCTATAGCGCTATCAGACAAACATGTGAGTTGGTTATAGCGGAATATTGCTGCTGCTGTGCGAGAATCCTGCTATAACGGACATTTTGCTCCGGTCCCCTCCCTCTCGTTATAACAGGATTCCATGGTACAAAAGTCTTTTAAAGAAGTAGAGGAAGAAATACATGTAGTAAGGATTAGGAAAGAAAAAGCAGCAGTTCCCTATTGCAGTCCAGGCACAGTTATGAGCATGATACGGATGAATCAGCCCATTTACAATTCTACTGTGCTTAAGACCAGGTTAATGTCCCCCCTTTGGGAATGGCCTAAAGACACTTCAGCCAGTAGCACTGCCCCGGGGGGGTATCTGTTGTTTCTGTCTGTCTGTCTTACCTTTTCCCCATACCACGTGACCATTGCCACCATTGTGTTGATGTGCTTCTCTCTATTCAAACAAAACAAACAAGTTTGCTTTTTAATTCAAAGCATCTGGTTTGATTCTACATGGAGGGGCGGGGGTTGGTGGAGGGCATGCCGTGTCAACTACGGATGTGTTGATGTTGTCGGGAGTGATGGTTGGCAGGTGCTCTGGTGTGGTTTGCTCCTTTTCTATCAAACATCTATCGTCTTTATCTTCCCTCCTTCTTTTTTGTGTTTGTTACTCCCTTGTAACACCTCTAATCTTCGGCACTTATATGACCTTATTGTGTTGCAAGTGCCGTAAAACTCTTACGAAAAAAAAATTCCGGGGGGGGGGGGGGGGGAGTGAAAAAAAAAGATTAACAACTCCTCCAAAGTTCAACTTGACCATTGGGACATATGTAAATTAAAGAAGAAAAGGTGCTGGGACCCGTGAAAAAGATCAACTAATGCCAGTTCAACACAAGTGGAGTCGGCTGTATCACGATCCTCGGGTTGTGCATTTGATTTACCTGCTCCCACGTCTGGTAGGTGGGTGGTTGATGGGTGCTCTGGTGGGGTTTGCTCCTTCTTTCCTACCAAACAACTATCGTCTTTATTTCTCCTCCTTCTTTTTTATGTTTGTTACTGTCTTGTAACATCTTTAATCTTCGTCATTTATATGACCTTATTGGGTTGCAAGGGCCGTAAAACTCTTAGTAAAACTAAAGAAAGGTCCGGTAGGATTGATGATCGTTGAACACCTGGTCTTTCCTGTGAAGAATTTCTGTCCCATGTTCTCTGTTCTCTGAACACGGCAAAGATACTTCGGAAGTTGGTACATGTAGTCGTAGAAACTGCATGTGGTTTAAAGTTTTGATCAAACCCAACTCACATACTAAAGAAACTTCTCTTAGCCTACTCTTTGTGTATTACAATCAACTCGGCTTTTAATTTATGTTGAACTCGCTTGAGTTGATCTTTTTCTTGGGTCTCTGCACCTCTTCCTCTTTACAGTACAGGCAGGTCCCAACGGTTAAGTTAGACTTTGGATGGGTTGATCTTTTTTCCATCTTTTTTTCACTCCTTCAGCGACTTTAACTCATCTTTTCTGTTCTGCCCAGGGGGAATGGACCAGTGTTTGTGGTTTAGCGGTTAGCCACTTCACCATCACTCACGGAAGACCTGAGTTAAATTCTTGTGTGGGAAGAATTTTTATTGAGTATCTCATTCTTTCTGCTGGGACATTGTTAGTTTAGTAATCATTATACTTATAGTCGGCTGTAGGTAAAGTTGTATACCGGTACTTGTACAATACTTGTACACAGTTCAAGTCTATGGTCAGTGAGTCAATGGTGTAAAGGGCAAAAGTAAAGTTGGTCCCTCCATCTTGAATGTGTTTGACGTCACTTGGCCTGATGTGCAGACAGACGCGAGATCATATTCAGTTTAGGACGCTTCGTTAGACACAGTTGGCATCATGCTTGACTATAGAGCGGATGGCCCTGGTTCAAATCTCAGAATGGGTGACTTTTAAACTCTTACTCAGCTTCTTCTTTCCTATCAAACATCTATCGTCTTTATCTCTCTCCTTCTATTTTGTGTTTGTTACCCGTTGGTAACACCTCTAATCTTCGTCTTTTATATGACCTTATTGTGTTGTAAGCGCGGTAAAACTCTTACTAAAACAAAAAAACATAAACTCAGTTTGTGTTGCAAGTATCGTAAACTAAAGCGCTTTCTAAAACTAACTAAAACTAAACAGTAGTTGTCCCCGGTTAGTGACAATTCTTGTTTTTTTTTTCAGATACAAGGTTTATCATTTTCAAACGGCAGATTATCTGATGTAACGTCACTGTTCCTGCCATTTAGCCACAGACACACCTCGCTTTGAACAAACACCTTTCACTTACTTAAACAAACAGTACGCCCAACGTCAGCAAAGACATGGTATAGTATGTTTAGGCCACAGTTATCTCACAATATCATGTATAATAATAATGTTATTATTAATATCGATCTATAAATGGCGGTCGTGGGTTTTAACCCCTTCATGAATGAGGTCCCGTGAGCGGTGCATGTCGTCTGAGATGAGGACGAGACTGAACTGATAATTTAACCCCTTTGTGACCGAGACGTGGGTGGTTGGAGAGTGCATTGATGTGATTTGCTCTTTCTTCCCTATCAAACATGTACCGTCCTTATCTCTGTTCCTTCTTTCGTGTTTTTTACTCTCTTGTATCACCGCTAGTCTCCAGCACTTATATGACCTAATTATGTTGCAAGTGCCGTAAATCTCTTTCTAAGACAAATCAGAGGTGAGACATTTCCATCTTCATCTATGTAGACTAGATAAAATGTTCATAAATTATTTGCATTAAATTACGATATTAGTATAATAATAATACCCTGTTTTAAAAAAAAGTAAAAAACTGTACAATCTGTAAAATAATCACATCTTCTAAAAACTTCCCTTAATGACCGACAGAAAGACAACAGTGGACCAGTTTTTGGAACACAAGCGAATAGATCTATATATGATTTCAGAGAGTGGGTGAGTGAAGGTGTATTTTTATATTTATTTATTTATTTGTTTTTTAAGGGGGTTGGGGGGGGGGGGGGGGGGTTAATAGACTGGTTTAAAAAAAAATATATATGTGGAAGACCATAACGACTGGCTTAGATTCAAGGACAGGGTTGGGGGAAGATAGAAAGGCGGAAGGAGGGAATGGGGGAGGCTGAAGGTATTCCCCGAACATCAATCTGTTGCGCGTGCGATGTATCAAATTCCCAGAGACTTTTCTTCATTATCCTGAACCCTTGACGTGGACTCGTGGGAATGTACTGACAAAAAGCCACAAGTCGCTTTGTTTGATTAGCGCAGTAAGACACAGAGGGGCCTATATAGGTTTTATATCAATGTGACCGGCTTCATTGTTGCGAAAAACACACGCGGGGCCACTTGATTTGAACGTTTAATTTTTCTTGACGAGTTTTTAGTTTTAGCGTTAAAGACAAAAAAGGTGAGCTTTATTTTTATTAACTGGTTGGCGTCTATTGATGTGGCAAAATATGCACTTTCAGTTGATTTTTAAATGAATTTTTATTTTTCTACTAGACGAGGTGATAGTGTAGAAAAAAAAGAAGGAGGTATGGGGCGGATTAATCTTTTTTAACATCGTCATAACAATAGAGCAGGATTCATTGTTGCTGATGTCCACTATGGAAAAGTTGATCTAAAGGTGTCTTTTTCGACAAATCTGATAGCGTAAGCAATCTAAGAAAAAGGGTGTGGACGGGCCATTTGTCGTTGACCTACAGGAACAGGCGGTAACAAAAGGGGAGGTTTTTTGTTGTGGTTGTTGTTGTTGTTGTTGTTGTTGTTGTTCCCTTTTTCCGTTTTTATAAAAATAGAACCAGTATGACGTTGTGTATGTTGCTGAAGAACACGGAAATCTCATGTTGTTAACAAACTAATCTGAATCTCCTTGATGATTTTTTCGTTAAAAAAAAAAAAATTAACTCATGTTGGCTACGTTTGGTTTTGTTTTAATTACACGAGCACATAAAATAATAATATAAATCTATAAATAATGTAATCTTAAAGTTTCAATTTGCTGGGAGGCTCACTCAAAGTCAAAGGATACACGTTTTCTTCATGTACCGTAGCCTAGATGTACCATGTTTGCAACGACTTAGGCAGGGCCTATGTGTACATGCATGCACGGTGCATGGGTCTAGTGACCCTTTCAACACTGTACACCAAAGTAACAATCCACCCCCTGTGAAATAAGAAGCCAAAGAAAAACTCGGAACACCACAAGAACAAGAGAACGCCAGGAAACAACTAAGTTGGCTCGACTTCCTGTTTATGGAGTACACAGATAAATGACGCATGATTTACACGTCTCGCTACATCAGAATAATGAAGTTCTATCTGCTCAGAATCTAGTTTTGACATATTTAACGTTAAAAACCTTTTCGAATGCAATTCTTAGAATATTTTGGTAACGAATCCGAATAATCTTACGGTTATCGTGGTCTTAGTAACTCAAAACGGCCAAACATGTCAGATAGAACTAGGTAATTATTAAGTAGCGATCTACCAAGACTACCACCAGACAGTAAAGCAGTATCTACAACAAGTACTGTGAGTGATACCCATAGGGGCCCAGTGAGAAACGTTGTTCCATCTCTGTCGTCACAACTCTTCACGGAAAAAAAATGAACTAGATCTGAAGTTACTTTCCAAGCGAATGTTACCCCCATATTTGTGAGTGGTAACACAAAGTGCTATCCAATCCGTTCACCTTTGAGAGTAGAGACCAAAGAGATCCCATCCACCCTCTACTTTTGGTAATAAAGATAACAACAACAAAAAAAAGCTATCCTATCGTTCCATCTTTGAGAGTTAAAATCAAAGAGCTGGTCGTCTACCTTTGGGAGTAAAGATCAAAGAGTTATCATATCCGTCCACGTTTGACAGTTAAAGGTAAATTAATTATCCGTCCACCTTTGTGAGTAAGATCAAAGCGTTATCCTATCCGCCCACCTCCGAGAATAAAGATTAAAAAAACCTATCCTCTCTTCTGAGAATAAAGATCAAATAACTATGCCACCCGTCCACCTTTGAAAGTTTAGATCAAATAACTATCCCACCGGTCCATCTTTAAAAGTTTAGATCAAACAACTGTCCCCATCCGTCCACCCAAAGATTCTCTGCTACCAGCATACACCATCTTTGGTCCACCTTTGTGAATGTTTCAGGCCAGATGTTGCCCAGGCTTGTCCCGCTCCTGCTGCTGCTCCTCACCGCCCTCACGGCCACCAGAGCGAGGTCACTGACCAGACGACAGGCTGCTGTCTTCACCGGCTCCTTCGGCCGCCTCGTGGTGCCCAGCTACTACGGCATTCCCTACATCATCAACCAGAACGGCCAGTCCATCCAGATGACACCCGCCAACTTCCCGCAACTCTTCCGGCCTGCCATCCCAGCCGGACAGGGTCAAGGTCAACAGCCAGCGGGCCAAGGACAACAACCAGCGGGTCAAGGTCAACAGCCAGCGGGTCAAGGTCAACAACCAGCAAATCAAGGTCAACAGCCAGCGGGCCAAGGACAACAACCAGCAGGTCAAGGTCAACAGCCAGCGGGTCAAGGTCAGCCCCCAGCGGGTCAAGGTCAACAGCCAGCAGGTCAAGGTCAACAGCCAGCGGGTCAAGGTCAACAGCCAGCAAATCAAGGTCAACAGCCAGCAAATCAAGGTCAACAGCCAGCAAATCAAGGTCAACCACCAGCAGGTCAAGGTCAGCCTCCAGCGGGTCAAGGTCAACAGCCAGCGGGTCAGGGTCAACAGCCAGCGGGTCAAGGTCAGCCTCCAGCGGGTCAAGGTCAGCCCCCAGCGGGTCAAGGTCAGCCTCCAGCGGGTCAAGGTCAGCCTCCAGCTGGCCAAGGTCAACAGCCAGCTGGTCAAGGTCAGCCTCCAGCGGGTCAAGGTCAACAGCCAGCTGGCCAAGGTCAACAGCCAGCTGGTCAAGGTCAGCCCCCAGCGGGTCAAGGTCAGCCTCCGGCCGGTCAAGGTCAGCCCCCAGCAGGTCAAGGTCAGCCCCCAGCAGGTCAAGGTCAGCAAGGATGAGTATGCGACGAGAGAGTATTGTTCAGTTAGCGGGACGTGTGACGTCACAGCTCTATGTTTAAGGGGAATACAATCTTGTAGTAAACTTTGAGTGTTTGTGGTATTTAATTTGTGTTCACTACCCGTACTTCTTTAGAAAAGTGCGT